AGGATGCGCGCCTTCCCCCAGCTCTCGGCCCGGGCGCTCCTTTCCCGCTCGCTCCGCTTACTCCGGGACAGGCGTCCTCGCCCTGCTGCCCCACAAGGATGTACAACGGCTCCCCGCGACTAAGGAAGAAGACCGCCGAGAGGAAGACGCCGTGCGCCCGTGACAGGTGGTTTCTGGCGCCTTTGCCGCCCGCTGCTCCGTAGGCGGAGATCCTGCGGGAAAACGGTGCAGGCTTTCGCGCCCGGGTCCTGAGCCCGGCTGTGGCTCGAGGTCGGAAACCCGCGGCCGGCCGGGAAACTTGCTAAGCGGCTTAGTGCGATCGATCGACTGACTGCGAAGGGACGGATAGACTGGGCTTGCAGTTAGGTTCCGAACACGCCTGTTTCAGGAGTGTTGATGGAGATGGAGGGAAGGGACAAGCCCCTTTTGGAGCCACTGCTGACTAGGCGGACATCCTGTCGATGGGAACAGGATCCCTGCTACCCGCTAACTCGGCCCTGTTGCTACACTTCTTGCTGGAAGGGCAAGCAATCCGAGTGACCGACAATAGGCATCGCTGCGGAATACTTTAAGATGAAAAGTGATGGTCCTGCTTTCCCGGACCGTAGAACCTTAGCCTAGCAGGTGACTGCCACCCTCGCCTTTGCCAGGCACTTACAGATACTGGCCGCGGCCCCCCGCCACAGCTGCACGCCTTTCAGAGGCCCGGCGACTCCCACCGTCACCACCACGCTGCTCCCTGTGTATGCCCCGTCGCACTGTGTTTGTGTGGGCCCCCGCCGGCCGCTGGCGCCACAGGTGTTGAACACCCAAGGCCCCCGCGTGCCTAGGTGCAAGACAGAAGGAAAGAGTCGGATTCCTGCCGAGGCATAGGGATCTGGTGATGTTGAGCGAAGAAAACGGAGGAGGCTGAAGCTCACCTAGAGGATTTGGGAGGGAAGCTGGCTCCAGTCTACTGGGCGTGGGGGTGACTTTCTGCTCCTGGGAGTTGGGGAGTTGCGGAGTTGGCAAGGGCGAGGATGTTAGAAAAGTTGCCTGGAACTCCGAGTTGGAGCAAAGAATAGTTCCTGAAAGGCGACCGTAAGGAAAAGGGGTTTGAAGAAGGTGCAGAATGTGAACGGAGAGACTAAGAGATTGATGGCCACTCCACAGTATCCTGCTTGCAGCCACACCCCTAATGGCACCCAGCGGGCGCACACCAAAGCTCGAAACCAGAGACCTACCACCCAACCAGGTTGTCCGAGCCCTGCAAGGAGTCTGCATATACAATGTTCTCCATTTCAGAGTTCTCACTGAGTGACTTGGGGGCTGCACCGCGCCGGGTGGTACGTACAGCGCCTCCACCCCTTTCCTCCACTTAGATTGGTGTCCTTACTCCCAGGTAGTGCCAAGGCCCCACCTGATTCTTAGATTTGTATGTGCTCCGCGCTTCTCTTGCCGCACTCTAGAAGCACAGGCCAGAGAGCTTTGGTTCCAGGCCACCTTAGAAGGAACCGTTGAGACCTGGTCTGTCTCTGACGCAGTCCCAAATCTAGGTGCCTCTGGTAGGCTGGTACTCTGACCACCAGATAGTACTTACCGGCAGCTCCCAGCCACAGAAGCATCTGACAGGAGCAGCCCATCGCCGGATCCGTTGATTCCAGCTAAGGGTGTAGTCTCAGAGTCATCCCCACTACCCTGCAGACCTGTAGCCGGCCTGGCTACGCCCACATGGCAGGGAGGGAGCAAGAGGAGGAAAAGGCGGGGAATGTGGGCTGTGAGGTCCCCAAGCTTCCGGGAAGAGCCTTGCTGAACTCCCACCGAGGGGTTGTCAGTCACTTGCCACAGGCTCGTCCGCTGGCCACCCTAACAATTAGGGTGATTTCGTGTTAGGAGAAAAAGTTGGCCCTATTCTAGAGGTTTGAGATAGCAACCTGGATGGCAGCTAGCCACATCCTGGCACTTGGCAGTAGCTTCTGTGGTTTTCAGGACAGGAACAGAACAAATGGCTTTATAGGTGGTGGTACTGGGACTAATGGCATACACTACAATGCCTTGCAGGAGTACTCTTTAAATTGTCCCCAGTAAGGCATTATTGCTCGCCATTGCTGTGGTTATCAGTGCCTTTCTGACCACATGACAGAAAGAACATCCCAATACCTCAGGACATGACTTTCTGGGTTTGTTACACAGTTCCATTGGCCTGTGCACAACTTGTTACTGCCATGACTACACAAGGTGTCTGAGATCTGCCCAGTGTAGCTCACACTTCTAATCCAGCACCTGCCAGGTGGAGAGAACTCAGTGTTCAAGGTTTTCCTCTGCTATCAGACTGGATGCCAGCCTGGGCTACATGAGACCTCCTCTCAGAAAGCTAATCAAAATTTAAAGAAAGATGTCAGGGGATCCAAGTGCTAGCACCCTAGGTAATGCAGAATAGCACAGCCACAGTTGACACCTGCCAATCACCCACCAGGAAACTTCTCAAAGTCACAAAACAGCCACATACTAAGAGGGCTGCTGGAATTAAGTCCTCAGGTTGTTTTGTGTATTGTATCTTCTCTTTTGTTCAAAATGCTAATGTTAAACAAGGCATGGTGGCTCATGCCAGTAATTCCAGCACTCAGAAGGCTGAAGACCGAGGATTGCTATGAGTTCCAGGCCATCCTGAGCTGGAGTAGTATTTTGTCTCAAAAACCAAAAATCAAACAAACAAACAAAAACAAAAAACACTCCACAAACAAACAAACAAACAAACAAACCCAAAACTCCTACAAGAATAAATATTTTGCAAAAGATCTCCTTCAACCATTAGCAGAAGAGCAGAGATAGGGTGTCATCTGACACACAGTGCTAATTTCTAATTCATGGGTATGAACCTCCCATGCTAAAATCCCACCATGGTCATTAGTCCGGCACAAATTGTAGTCTTTATTATTATTATTAGTAGTAGTATCAGTATTATTATTATTATTATTTTGTTTTTTCGAGACAGGGGTTCTCTGTGTAGCTTTGGAGCCTATCCTGACACTCGCTCTGGAGACCAGGCTGGCCTCGAACTCACAGAGATCCGCCTGCCTCTGCCTCCCGAGTGCTGGGATTCAAGGTGTGCACCACCAATGCCTGGCCCCAAATCGTACTGTGTGTTACGGGAGGACATTCCTTAGGGAGGAGGCACACTAGGAGCACCTGGATCAAGGGAGAGCCAGCTGGGCAGTGGTGGTGCACACCTTTAATCCCAGCATTTAGAAGGCAAAGGCAGGCACATCTCTGTGAGTTTGAGGCCAGCCTGGTCTACAGAGTTCCAGGACAGACTCCAAAGCTACCCAGAGAAACCCTGTCTCAAAACAAAACAAAAAAGATGAGGGAGAACCATCCCAATAAACACTTAACTGGATTAAAAAAGAAATGGCTGACACCTGTTTTAACACCTGAAAACCGAAGTTGTGCCTAGTAGCTGACTTAACTTAGTAAATTCTGAGCTGGGTGTGGTGGCACATGCCTTTAATCTAAGCATTTGGGCGGCAGAGGCAGGCAGATCTCTGAGTACCAGGGCAGGGCCATCGCAATAGTGACCAGCAAAATGTAAATAAAACAGGGCCAGTGAAAGGTGCTTGCTGCCAACCTGATAGCCTGAATTAGATCCCTGGGATTCACATGGTGAAAAGAGAACTCACTCTTCTAAGTGCTTCTCTGACCCTTACACACACACACACACACACACACACAAATGGATAAAATGTAAAGTTAAAAGGCTGAGGGCACTGGTGCATACTTGTTTAAAAAAAGTAAGTAAATAAAATAAGACAATTTATGTTTTGATCTACTCCCCCCAGTCATGGCCCTACTAAGGAAAGTCCACTGTGTGGGCTGGAGGATGGCTTAGTGGGTAAGTACACTGATTTGGTTTCCAGCAGGCAGATCATAAACACCTCTACTGACCTCTCTAGGGGATCCAACATTATCCTCCCCCCTCTGTGGGTGCCTGCACACATGCCATCCATACACACAGACACATACACATAAATTTAAAGAAAAAAGCCCACTGAGAATGCATATGGAAAGCACTACATCAGGCTGGCATTTGGCTTCACTGACCCCTGTACTTCCAGGGTCCTGCACAGAGTTCTTCAGGACCCACCCGCTCCCAAGAGCACTGTCACTATCACAAATTTCCAGAACACCCATTTTGCCACCTCCAGATGGAGACTGTTCTTACCTCCCATTGTGATTTTTTTCTCCCACCTCTCTGCTTGAGATAATCTACCCTTGTTACCAACTCTGAACATGACAAAAACCAGTCCAGATCCACTTGACTAGAAAAGAATTTATTTCAATGGGTAGCACAGCAATCATACACCATGGCCTGGTAAAGACTGGAGGTGGGTGAGGAGAAGGGACTCAGACTGTTCTGTGCCCACAGTCGGGGAAACAGCTAAGTCACCCTCCACTCCTAGCACAGTCCTCAGAGGCCCCAGACCCTGAGCTCGGGATGTAAAAAGAGTTCTTTCTGTTCTAAAAAAAGGCTCAAGCCATGCCGTCTCAGGTCAGCAAGCCTTGTGTTCCCCTTATGAAATGATGTCCTGTATGAGCAAGCTCGCACTGGCAAGCCCTAGGAGAATATACCCATCATTAGCCAGTGCCAAGGGCTCTACGTCTTGGATCCTCCATTCTGGAGCCCCTCTGTGGGCAATGTCTGCAGGTGCTGCTGCCTCAGGCGAGGCAGCTGGGAATACAGCTCAAAGCCCTCTGGGAGGCTGGAGTTGGGCAGTTTGTAGTGGAGGAGGTGCTGCCGAAGGCCCTGTAGAGAGGGTAAAAACCATGAGTGGGTGGTGAGGCTGCTGAGGTTTGGTTCCTTAAACCCCGAGAATCTTTCATCTTCCCAATACCCACAATCCTACCTCATCTGCCAGCAGCCATGTTTTCTGCAACATATTCTTCCGGGCAGCCTTCACCTCATCCTAGGAGCATAAGAGGGAGATGTGGCCCTTAGCCAAGGACTAGTACCCACCACTGGCCCACTAGCTCCCTCCATCCCTCTGAATATCAAGATGTGACATACTGGGCTCTTTGGGTCTTGGGAGAAGATGAAACTATTGACATGAGCCACAGCTACCGTGTAGAGGACGGGGCACCAATGTGGACGGAGTGCACCAGTAACCAGGGCCCGGAAATAGAGCTGAAGGAGAGCCAGGCTGTCTTCAGCAGGCTCTGTGTAGCACTCCAACGGCACAGGCAGCTGTACAGAGGGAAATGATAAGCTGAGGGCAAGGGAGGAAATGTGCATCAGTGGTCAGTGGTGGATGGCTGCTGGTCACATGGGACCAAATCACAGGGGCAGACAGACATCAGGTCCTAGAAAGACACTCCCCCCCCCCTTTTTTGGGGGGGAGGTTGAGACAGGGTTTCTCTGTAGCTTTGGAGCCTGTCCTGGAACTCAATTTGTAGACAGGCTGGCCTCGAACTCACAGAGATCCACCTGCCTCTACCTCCAGAGTGCTGGGATTAAAAGTGTGTGCCACTAATGCCTGGCGACATTTCCCTTCTTTAGTACATGGATGAAGGCTAAAGAGCAAAGACTAGAGCTGGGGCATGGCTTAGAGCCTGAGCACCTTCCAGGGATGCATAAAACCCTGGGTTCCATTTCTAGCACTCTCTCTCTCTCTCCTTTTATTCATTTATTTTTTCCAAGACAGGGTTTCTCTGTGTAGCTTTGGAGCCTGTCCTGAAACTCATGGAGATCCACCTGCCTCTGCCCCCAGAGTGCTGTAATTAAAGGGGTGTGCCACCATTGCCCGGCTACAGTATTGATTTCTTAAGTGTATTTAATGATAACAAATGCTTATGATGTAAGGCTAAATGAAAAATTCTCTAGGCAGTAATTCCAAGTTTATAAAAATAGACAAGTATACAAAAGAGAGTAGAAAAAATAGAAATAAAAGCAACTGTCACTGAGCCAGGACTGAAAGTTCGTGCTTATCATTCCTGAATACACCCAGAAGGCTGGGGCCAGCCTGGGTTACAGAGGAAGACACAGCCTCAAAACTTTTTTTTTTTTTTGAGACAGGGTCTCTATGTGGCCTTGGCTGTCCTGGAACTCGCTCTGTAGACTGGGCTAGCCTCAGACTCATAAAGACTCACCTGCCTCTGCCTCCAGAGCACTGGGACTAAAGGTGTGTGCTACCACACCTGATCCTCAAACTTTTTATTATTTATTTTCATCATTGATTTATTTACTTATTTATTTGGTCTTTGGAAACAGAGTTTCTCTGTTTAACAGTCCTGGCTGTCCTGGAATTCCATTATGTACACCAGGCTGGCCTCAAACTCACAGAGATCTGCCTGACTCTACCTCTCAAGTGTGTGTGCCACCATGCCCAGCGTGAGCTTGACCACCTTTTAGG